ATTTCTCTTTCAAATTTTTCATCATTAGTGTATAGGAATACAAGAGATTTCTGTGCATTAATTTTGTATCCTGCTACTTTACCAAATTCATTGATTAGCTCTAGTAGTTTTCTGGTGGCATTTTTAGGATTCTCTATGTATAGTACCATGTCATCTGAAAACAGTGACAGTTTTACTTCTTTTCCAATTTGTATTCATTTTATTTCTTTTTCTTCTCTGATGCCATGGCTACGACTTCCAGAAACTATGTTGAATAATAGTGGTGAGAGTGGACATCCTTATCTTGTTCCTGATCTTACAGGAAATGCTTTTAGTTTTTCACCATTTATAATGATGTTTGCTGTGGGTCTGTCATATATGGCCTTTATTATGTTGAAGTAGGTTCCCTCTACGCCCACTTTCTGGAGAGCTTTTATCATAAACAGGTGTTGAATTTTGTTAAAAGCTTTTTCTGCATCTATTGAGATGATCATATGGTTTTTATTCTTCAATTTGTTAATATGGTGTATCACATTGATTGATTTGCGTATATTGTAGAATCCTTGCATCCCTGGGATAAATCCCACTTGATCATGGTGGATGATCCTTTTAATGTGTTGTTGGATTCTGTTTGCTAGTATTTTGTTGAGTATTTCTGCATCTATATTCATCAGTGATATTGTAATTTTCTTTTTTTGTAGTATTTTTGTCTGGTTTTGGTATCAGGGTGATGGTGGCCTCATAGAATGAGTTTGGGAGTGTTCCTTCCTCTGCAGTTTTTTGGAAGAGTTTGAGAAGGATGGGTGTTAACTCTTTTCTAAATGTTTGATAGAATTCACCTGTGAAGCCATCTGGTCCTGGACTTTTGTTTGGTTGAAGATTTTCAATCACTGTTTCAATTACATTACTTGTGATTGGTCTGTTCATATTTTCTGTTTCTTCCTGGTTCAGTCTTGGAAGGTTATACCTTTCTAAGAATTTGTCCATTTCTTCCAGGTTGTCCATTTTATTGGCATAGGGTTGCTTGTAGTAGTCTCTTAGGATGCTTTGTATTTCTGCAGTGTCTGCTGTAACTTCTCCTTTTTCATTTCTAAGTTTATTGATTTGAGTCCTCTCCCTCTTTTTCTTAATGAGTCTGGCTAATGGTTTATTAATTTTATCTTCTCAAAGAACCAGCTTTTACTTTTATTGATCTTTGCTATTTTCTTTGTTTCTACTTCATTTATTTCTGCTCTGATCTTTATGATTTCTTTCCTTCTGCTAACTTTGGGTTTTGTTTGTTCTTCCTTCTCTAGTTCCTTTAGATGTAAAGTTACATTATTTGAAATTTTTCTTGTTTCCTAAGGTAGGCTTGTATAGTTATAAACTTCCCTCTTTGAACTGCTTTTGCTGCATCCCATAGGTTTTGGATCATCATGTTTTCATTGTCATTTGTCTCTAGGTATTTTTTGATTTCCTCTTTGATTTCTTCAGTGATCTCTTGGTTATTTAGTAATGTATTATTTAGCCTCCATGTGTTTGTGCTTTTTACGTTTCTTTCCCTATAATTTATTTCTAATCTCATAGCGTTGTGGTCAGAAAACATGCTTGACATGATTTCAATTTTCTTAAATTTACTGAGGCTGGATTTGTGACTCAAGATGTGATCTATCCTGGAGAATGTTCCATGCGCACTTGAGAAGAAAGTGTAGTCTGCTGTTTTTGGATGGAATGTCCTATAAATATCAATTAAATCTATCTGGTCTATTGTGTCATTTAAAGCTTCTGTTTCCTTATTAATTTTCTGTTTGGATGATCTGTCCATTGGTGTAAGTGATGTTTTAAAGTCTCCCACTATTAGTGTGTTACTGTCGTTTCCCTCTTTTAGAGCTGTTAGCAGTTGTCTTATGTATTGAGGTGCTCTTATGTTGGGTGCATATACATTTATAAGTTATATCTTCTTCTTGGATTGATCCCTTGATCATTATGTAGTGCCCTTCCTTGTCTCTTGTAACATTCTTTATTTTTAAGTCTATTTTATCTGATATGAGTATAGCTACTCCAGCTTTCTTTTGATGTCCACTTGCATGGAATTTCTTTTTCCAACCCCTGCCTTTCAGTCTGTATGTGTTCCTAGGTCTGAAGTGGGTCTCTTGTAGACAGCATATATATGGGTCTTGTTTTTGTATCCATTCAGTAAGCCTGTGTCTTTCTTTTGGTCGGATCATTTAATCCATTCACGTTTAAGCTGATTATCAATATGTATGTTCCTATTACCATTTTCTTAATTGTGTTGGGTTTGGCTTCCTGGCCCTTTTCTTCTCTTGTGTTTCCCACTTAGAGAATTTCCTTTAGCATTTGTTGTAGAGCTGGTTTGGTGGTGCTGAATTCTCTTAGCTTTTGCTTGTCTGTAAAGCTTTTGATTTCTCCATAGAATCTGAATGAGATCCTTGCCTGGTAGAGTAATCTTGGTTGTAGGTTCTTCTCTTTCATCACTTTAAGTATATCATGCCACTCCCTTCTGGCTTGTAGAGTTTCTGCTGAGAAATCAGCTGTTAACTTTATGGGAGTTCCCATGTATGTTATTTGTTGTTTTTCCCTTGCTGCTTTCAATAATTTTTCTTTGCCAGTTTGATTACTATGTGTCTCGCTGTGTTTCTCCTTCAGTTTATCCTGTATGGGACTCACTGCGCTTCCTGGACTTGGGTGGCTATTTCCTTTCCCATGTTAGGGAAGTTTTTGACTATAATCTCTTCAAATATTTTCTCGGGTCCTTTCTCTCTCTCTCCTCCTTCTGCGACTGCTATAATGTGAATGTTGTTGCGTTTAATGTTGTCCCAGATGTCTCTTAGGCCGTCTTTATTTCTTTTCATTCTTTTTTCTTCATACTGTTCTGTAGCAGTGAATTCCACCATTTTGTCTTCCAGGTCACTTATCCGTTCTTCTGCCTCAGTTATTCTGCTATTGATTCCTTCTAGTGTATTTTTCATTTCAGTTATTTTATTGTTCATCTCTGTTTGTTCTTTAATTCTTCCAGATCTTTGTTAAATATTTTTTGCATCTTCTTGACCTTTGCCTCCATTCTTTTTCCGAGGTCCTGGATCATATTCACTATCTTTATTCTGTATTCTTTTTCTGGAAGGTTGCCTACCTCCACTTCATTTAGTTGTTTTTCTGGGGTTTTATCTTGTTCCTTCATCTGGTACATAGCCCTCTGCCTTTTTATCTTATCTGTCTTTCTGTGAATGTGGTTTTTGTTCCACAGGTGCAGGACTGTAGTTCTTCTTGCTTCTGCTGTCTGCCCTCTGGTGGATGAGGCTATCTAAGAGGCCTGTGCAAGTTTCCTGATGGGAAGGACTGGTGGTGGGTAGAGCTGGCTGTTTCTCTGGTGGGAAGAGCTCCGTAGAACTTTAATCTGCTTGTCTTCTGATGGGTGGGGCTGGGTTCCCTCCTTGCTGGTTGTTTGGCCTGAGGCGACCCAACACTGGAGCCTACCCGGGCTCTTTGGTGGGGCTAATGGCAGGCTCTGGGTGGGTGCACACCAAGGAGTACTTCCCAGAACTTCTGCTGCCAGTGTCCTTGTCCTAATGGTGGACAGAGCCACCCCCCTGCCTCTGCAGGAGACCCTCCAACACCAGCAGGTAGGTCTGGTTCAGTCTCCTATGGGGTCACTGCTCCTTTCCGTGGGTCCCGACGCACACACTACTTTGTGTGTGCCCTCCAAGGGTGAAGTCTCTGTTTCCCCCAGTCCTGTTGAAGTCCTGCAATCAAATCCCACTAGGCTTCGAAGTCTGATTCTCCAGGAATTCCTCCTCCCTTGCCAGATGCGCCCAGGTTTGGAAGCCTGAAGTGAGGCTCAGAACCTTCACTCCAGTGGGTGGACTTCTGTGGTATAATGTTCTCCAGTTTATGAGTCACCCACCCAGCAGTTATGGGATTTGATTTTGTTGTGATTGCGCCCCTCCTACTGTCTCACTGTGGCTTCTCCTTTGTCTTTGGATGTGGGGTGTCTTTTTTGGTGAGTTCCAGTGTCTTCCTGTCGATGATTGTTCAGCAGTTAGTTGTGCTTCTGGTGTTCTCACAAGAGGGAGTGAGCGTACATCCTTCTACTCCACCACCTTGAACCAATCTCTTCCAAAGCCCCATCTTTGGTAGAGAGGTAGATTTCCAATTTTTTATGTTTAATAATTATTTATTAAAATTTGTAATTAAGTGTCACCTTGAGGAATTATGTAGCATTCATCACTATAATCCTAAATTGATCCAGAAGAAAAATACTTAACACTTATTTTCTGAAGGAATAATTTTTATGTAAATATTTACATTTGAGAAAACCAAGGCAGAATGATTCATAAAAGAGTTTCAAACATAAAGTTATATCACATTTGGATAAAATTCTGTGTGGAAAGTGGAATAGAAATATAAGTGCAGAGAGAAAATGGGAGTATGTAAAATATCAACCAGTTAAAGAAGGGCTTGTTTGTATATGTTTTTTAATTAATGATATGGGTGTCAAATTATATGGCATTTAAATAGATTCAATTTAAAATAGAGACTGACAGTTTTATTTTTAAACGTCCATTTTACAATTGGATGGAAGTAACATAATTTGTAGTTAATTAATCTGGGGTTAGAACTTTAGATGTCAAGGTTAAAATACATGAATGAAAAAATACAGCTTCTCAAAATTCTTGCGGGTGTCACTGGAGCAGGAAGTGTGAAGGCCTCTGGCTTAGGTGTCACTCTGTCGCATTCAGACGTGCATGGCTGGAGCCAGGGGGAGCAGGGCACACACTCCCGAGCCCTAGGAACCAGTTAGGGCGCAGACTGTGGACATGCACATGCAGACCTGCATCTTATAACTTGTGCATATTTCTGCCTTGCAGGGTGTAGTGCAGGACATGCAAAGGCGGGGTGGTCTGGTTCACTGTTTGCATACATGAAGGTGGGAGGACAGTCCTGGCTTGTCCTAGGGGACCTTCACTGTGATTCCAGCACAGGCATTGTGGAAGCAAGAGCAGGAAGCCGTGGTCGCAACTTACCATTTGCAGCCAAATGTTGGTGGTCAACACTTGGTTCTTCTCATCCTTTAAAGGAAAAAAAAAAAGTCAAAAATATGGTTTATATGATTTACATAAGAAGAAATGATACCCTTATTCATGTACCAATCTGATGGTTGGGACGGTTGGCGTGTGTGGAAAATAGAATTCATGGAGCACTTCCAAATATACTCCAGCATTTCCCCAGAGCACAGCTTTTCTATTTATGCTGAAGTAATACACATTCATTACAGAGCTCTTACAAAAGATGGAAAACTATAGAGAAGAAAATTAAAACCCTGCAACCCCACCATCCCGAGATGATACCTGCTAATCGTTTATCTTATTTTTCCTTACACATTATTTATCATTTGTATACTTAAAAAATAAGACTGGGTGCAGATTCCAATCTTTTAAAGTCAAGTTTATTAGCAGAATGGATAGAGTTTTAAGCAAATTGAAATATTTTAGGCTTCCCTCCCCCGGGAGAGGGAGTCCCCGCCCCACCCCATGACAGCTGCGGCACCTGTGCTAACAGTGCTGCGTGGGCTCCATTTCTCCCTAAACCCCAAGTGTCTGCCTGCCTTTCCTCCCATCCTCCATCAGCCTGGCAGCACCCAGGCCCTCGACACACACCTGCAGGGTACATCCTGTCTAGGTGAGCAAACTAGGGTCAGAAAGGTGGTTCCTTTATGAAGGAACCATTCACACTTGGATCTGAGTCAACAGCCCCTCTTTCCACATTTCCAAACTGAGAGTGGGTTCCAAGCTGGGCGCCAAAGTCTGCATTTTTTTCAGGAAGCTCCGGAGAGCAGATTGACCTTGGCTTTGCCCCTGCACTGGGCACCCAAAGAAGATGCTAGTCAACATGGGGCCTTTCCATCCGGGACGCAACCGGTTTTTTAGCATGGCTGGAAAAGCCCAAAAAGGCCTAGCAAAAGCCACGGTGCACACGGAGACAAACAAGCCCATTTCATGCAACAGTTCTGCTGAGAATGCTGTTCACTATTTCGTGTTCAATTCCCACCTAAAACACTCTGTAAATTAGCAATTTTCACCCTCTCCAGGAGAAAGTACTTATTAATGCTGAGATACCCAGAGGCTGAGGCCATAAGCCCCTCCAGCAGGAACTACCTGGCCTGGCTCCCTGATGGCAGTCACAAAAACAGACCAGTGGCAGAAAGAACACCATCTACTGGGGCACGGTCTCAGGGCAGGGACACAAATGAGAAATGGATGCTGCTTCTCCTTCAAATACAAATGTGTTGAATGCGTAAGAAGCTGGCAGAGATTCTTTGATGCATCAATGCCCCTGTCCCAGTAGCTCACCCTGGGTGCCTCTGAGAGGTGAGAGTTGGAGGCAGGAAGGTGGGTGTAAATCTCACAGAGAGGATCAGGCTGCCTAGGGAAAGACAGGGGACCAAGTCCCAAGGGTCCCAGGCCAGGGGCTGTGTCCAGAAGAAGCTGAGAATTCTGTACAAGAAAAATACATCCCCTTTTTCAAAATAACACATGCCAGGGGTTTTGGTAGAAAAAGCTGCGGAGCTAACCTCTCTCCATCCTCTGTGCAGAGATAACAGTCGCTGACAGAGCCATGCATCTGAATTGCAAGAGGGCTCTAGTTCCAGTCCAATCTCCAGTACTATTTGAAAGCACTGATAAACTCTTATAGGACATATGTCCCTTGCCTCAACTTATTAAGGAGTTGTTTTTAATCGACTTAAAAATTAGCCAGTGTTCCATTCACGTGGCTTTCTTTTAATTGCATCCATGTCTTTATCTTCTGAGAGAAAGGCTTCTGTGGTTTGGGAGCTCAATTACGACCAATCTAATTAAAAGGCTTTCTTCTTTCCAACATGTTAGCTGAAACCTCATTAGAGGGAAATGAGATTTCTGTGGTGTGTGGCAGCATGGGACTGAGCAGGCATTTCAAACTGTAATCAAGGCAAAGCAGCAGCCAGCCTCCAACGGAAGGAGCAGCAATGCAGGTGGGGGAGCCTCCACGGAGATGCGGGAAAACCCTGCAGGACCAGCAGAGCAGAGAGGCTACTGTCTGTGTTCCCAAGGTGGGCCCGTCACACCACCCCCATCCCAGGGCCACCCACTGGCTGAGTCTCAGCTCTCAGTCTGCATGGTGACAAGGTGTCCCACCTCCTTCCCACCCCCTTGTGAAGTATGTTCTTCCCCCCAAAGACTGAATGTCTGTGTTGCCCAAATTTCCTATGTTGAAACCTACCCTGCGTGGGGATGGTATTAGGAGATGGGGCCTTTGGAAGGTGTTTAGGTCATGAGGGTGGGTTCACCCTCATGACCAGGATTATTGTCCTTAATAAAGGGACCCCAGAGGGCTCCCTCACCCCTTCTGCCATGTGAAGACCCAGTCAGAAAACAGCCATCTATGAACCAGCAAGCAGGCTCTCACCAGACATCAAAGCTGCAGGTACCTTGATCCTGTACTCCCCAGCCTTCAGAATTGTGAGAAATAAATGTGTGTCATTAAGCCACTCAGTCTATGGTACTTTGGTTACAGCAGCCGAGCTGATGGAAGGCAGGGCCCTCACAGGGTCTGAACTCTGCTCAGTTCCAGACAGGCTCTCTGCCCTCCGCCAGCTGTACTGTTCAAATAATCCAGTCTCAAGTCCTTAGGGCAGCACACAGCTCTTTCTACAACCCACAGTCCAGCCAAGTGTTCATTTGCTCATTCATTCATTCACTCATTTGACAAATATTTCTGGAGCACTTCCTGTTTGGGGCATTATGCCAGCCTGACATGCACAGTGGAACTGAACAGACACGGTCCCTGAGCTCATGGAATATAAAATATGGGTGGAGGGTGGGATAACACAATTCGACAATGACACACCTATAATTACAAATGGTGACAAGTCACAGAGGACAGGAACAGAGCCCCTTCAGAGGATGACAGGAAGAAGGACTTCACCAGAGTGATGGGGATGAGATCCTGAGGAAAAGACATCACCTTTACTTCCTATGACCCTGCAACACCAAAGCCACGACCCCTCACGCCCACTGTGTGCACCCCTACCCTTCTAGATCTTGCTCCCCACTCAACCCCCAAGTGCCTGCCCTGCCCCATGCCCTCCTCCTTCCTCCTGCACAAGCCCAGGGGCTCCGGGAGGGAGCCAGCAACCTGGGCAGACCTGTGGCCTCAGACAGCAAAGTGCAATTCAACCCAAGGAGGAACCTTCCTGCCAATTGTCCAGCTGCTTTAGAAGGGACCTAACATGTATCCACAAGGATAACAAGTTAGCTGAACATTATTTAATGCTTAATAAATCTATTTTCCATTTAAAAAAAGAGGGGACCTATCAACCAGTTCCTGAGTTGTAAGCACAGAGGATGGCCACCCTTCTGGTCTACCCCTGGGCTGGACCCTGAGGGCGAAGCCAGGTGACCAGGGCCTGCAAGGTCTGCAGAGCCAGATCCCACACACCCAGTGCCCCTGCCACAGCTTCCCAGCCTCGTCCCCGCCACCCTGCCACCCACGGTGCCCTGCTTCTTGATGGAGTCTTCGCCTCTGCATTCAACTGCATGGCCTCAGGGGCTGCACGTCCTACACACTGAAGTCAGGTGGAAATCAATTCTCACTCCGGGAGGGAGCTCTCTCCTCTCTCACCCCGTCCTCCTCCACTGACACCCCGGTCACCAACCCCTGTACTGCTCTCGCACTTGTGTGAAATCAGGAACCAGCCACTGATGCTGAACTCAGCAGTCACGTCTGGCACAGGCTGGAGGCACACGGGTCCAACACTGGGACTCTTGGGAGGGAGAGGGGGATGAGGCTTCCAAACCCTGACCCCAGACCCTGGCCCAGGGGCTCTAAAACATAAGCAGGTACAACCCCCTGGGAACAAACAGCACAGGATCCGGGCATGGGTTCCAGTGATTCCAGACCCTCATCAGCCACCTGCCCATCACAGCCCTGACCCAACCTGGCAGGACAGCACACAGGAGCAGAGCCCCCCACACTGGCTGCCAGAAAACCCCCTGGGCTCCTATCAGGCACTCAGTGTCTGTGGTTTCAGTGTTCTCTTCTCAGAAACAGGGAGACAATAGCTGCCCCCACTACCTCCCAGTGTAGGAGGGACGAGGGTAGAGTCACACAGGCTGTAAAATATGACTCGGCTCTAGTGTGTCGCTGTGTGGTTGCTCTTTCTCTCTCTCTCTCTCTCACACACACACACACACACACACACACACACACACACACACACACGGCTCCCTCACAAGACCCAGGCTCCTTGCTGACCCTGGGATCTCACAGGAGGTCACAGGACCCCTGAGTGCCATGGAATCACACAGACCAGTGCACAGAACACCCCCAAAGCCAACCCTTTCTTTGTTTTTCAAACTGAGCACTTCAGAATATATTCAGCCTCAAAAATGAAGGAAATCCCGCTATCTGCGACAGTGTGGATGAACCTGGAGCACATTACGTTAAGTGAAAGAAACCAGACACGGAAAGATCCTGCATGATTCCACTTGTATAAAGAATCTAAAATAATCCAACCCACAGAAGTACGGAGTAGAATGGTGGCTGCCAGGGGCCGGGTGGGAAATGAGAGGTATTAGTCCAAGGGTGCAAAGCTTCAGTTCTGCAAAATGAACAAGCCCCAGAGATCTGTGAGGCACAGAGCCTATAACTAATAATGCTGTAGCGTAGACTTAAACATTTGCTAAGAGGGTAGATCTTATGTTAGGTGTTCTTATCACAGAAATAATAATTATAATAAATAAAAAAGAGGGCAGGAGGAAACTTTGGGAGGTGATGGGTATGTTTATGGCATAGACTGTGGTGAGAATTTCACAATGTATGGTTATCTCCAAACTTGTCATATTGTGTACATTAAACACGTATAGCTTTTTGTATGTCAGTCATACCTCAATAAAGGGATTTTTAAAGTATACTTTAAGTAGCCATGCTTTTTAAAATCAATCTCCCGGAATAATCATGTGTCTGTTTTAGAGTACAACCATTCTGATGTGCTATCCTGCACACCTGCAGCAATTATTCTTCTGGAAGTTAC